TGTAGAAGAAGACCAGGAGACAAGGAGGGACGTGCACCAGTCAGACTGCATACTTTGATGGTGACGTGAGGACGCACCCTTTCTGATGAAGGACAACAAGCTCCAACAAGCTGCGTCACTTCACTCCGTCTGATGGAAGCTGAAGTGAAGCACGGAGCTGCTTTTCTACACGGACCTGCTGAGGACAGAAGAGAGCTGCTCACTGAGGAAGTTCATGTCTACAAGGTCAGTAAGTGCAGCTGTGATTGGTTTAATGACATCATTGATGCTTGTGAATGTGTGATTGTTTAAAGCTGGGAAACAAGATGGCGCCTGTGTGAGCAGGCAGAGAGGAGCTGCTGTTAGTCTGAATGATGACGCTGTGATGAAGAAGAGGAGCTCAGTCTGATCTGGGGTCTGTGAGGACTGACAGATGAGGAGGGAAAGGTAGCAGACAGTGGGCACTAGGACCCAGCACTCACCTGGCCACAGGGCTCACCTGGGCCTTTGTTCTTCAAACACACCTGACAGACGCTCTGTTTGCTCCACAGAACACATCTAGTCCCTTTTTAGAGTGTTTGACTGTTGAAGAGGGGAAGGTAGCAGACGGAGGGGCACGATATATTTTTTATTTACATTCGAGGTTTTAAATTTTGCAGTTGAAGATTTTATATTTTCGGATACAAATGTTTTTGACTTTTGGCCCTGATATGGTTTAGGGGGCGTGGCATCAGCTGAAAGGGGCGTGTCATCATGATTGACAGCTTAACAAAGAATGCTGAAAACCTTCCTCACCGCGTTGCCTTCAGGAAATCTGGAATTATGAATCAACACTTTTAGTCACCATATTCACTTATTTAGTTCTATCAACCTCAAACTGCTTCATATTTCTAATCTTGATGAAACACGACCTTTCAAACAGAGTCGTGCCCCCAAAGACATTATAGCACCTAATGCACATCCTTACTACGTAAATATATATATTATCTTTACTTGTTGGAGAGGAAGTGCAGATAAGCCGTTCATAGATCAGACATCAGGACTCCTGATCGTAACCACACCAACAATGGAGAAAAACCCGTTCACACACACATCTACACGGGTACTAACACACAAACACACACCCATCTGGTACGACTGGTTTGCCTCGTGTTGGAAAATACCTCAAGTCAGAGGGTTCAAGTTGTTTTAGCCGTTCCAAATATCCACTGTGGGTTCCTTCAGTCAAAGACGTCCTGCTCTCTGCGACAAGCTGTCGGATGACTGGACGTCCTTCACATGTGTCCACATTCAGAAAGCAAGCTCACACGTATCTGCTGTCACATGCTTGTGGTTCATCACTGTGTGTGTTTAGCTGTTCCTGTTTGATTGTGTTTATATCGCTATACACAGAGATTTTTTTTTATTTTTTGAAAAACCTTTATTTTATACAAAACAACAAACATAATATACTCCGTCAGTAGGCCGCCCCCCGCTCAGGATCCTCCTCAGCTGGACGGACGCCTCACTCGGTCCCAGTACTGCTCCCTCCTTCCTTGGTGATCTTCAGGAGGAGCTTCCTCAGTCGGAAGACCTCCTGCTGGGTGTACTCCCCAGCTCCCTTTGTGGTGCTGCCACGCCGAGCAGAGCGAGCGAACATCTCCATGTCGGAGAAGTATTCCTCCAGCTTCACTCCTCTCTCGTTCTTGGTGGCCTGCAGGAACTCCTTCACCTGCCCCACCCCGTACCTGCTGGTGACCGTCCCACCCGAGGAGCCCCCCCCCCCCTCTTTGCCTGAGAGCCTCCCCTGCTGGCCCTCGTCTTCCTCTTCAGGTGGGGGACCTTAAAGACCCCCCTCTCCTCCATATCCTCCTTGCTGTCCGAGCTTCCACCTCGGGAAGGACCCCCACCAACGAGCGCCCCCCGAGCTCCTTCACCTTCCAGTTGGACCCCCATCCCCTCTTTCACTCTGTCACACACACCTGCCCGCTGGGCTACATTCAACCCCCCATCCACTCCGACATTCATTCCCTCACCCCCCTGACCGACCGCCTGGGCCTCACCCGTCCCCTCACTCACCCCCACACTCAATCCCTCACTCACCCCCTCACCCGTCCCTACTGTCACCCCCTCATCCACCTGACCGACCGGCTGGGCCTCACCCGTCCCTACAGCATGCTTTCTTTAGAGCTACTTTATTTTGTTTTTCAATGATTTATTTATTGTGACTGTTAAAACACAATTATTTAATAAAATTTCCTTTTGGGAGCTTTATAAGGTATTTGATTCCTAATAGAAGTTTTGCAAGTGTACAATCTGTTTCACTCAATTCCTTCACTTTTTGTGGGTCCATCTCTTGTTCGGAAAGATCGTATGTTCGACCTCATGGCGTTTTTACAGGGATGCTGCTTGTTAACTTTAATTGGGTGACAATTAAGAATCGATACATTTCTTTGGATGTGTTCCAAGACACGCCCAAGGTAACCAGTTGTTTCAGATCCACGACACTAGAAGGTTTCCTCCATGCCAATCCCCATCTTGTAATGCAGAGTGCAGAGTGCTGTTCTGACGCACACTGTTTAAAAACATAGTGTGTGTGTGTGTGTGTGTGTGTGTGTGTGTGAGACTGTGTGTCAAGTGTGTATGTGTGTGTGTAAGATGTTCACACTTGCACTTTTCATATTTCTAAATTTTTAAGACTCAGCCATCAGCGCCATCACGCATTGTGACGTCATCACGCATTGTGACGTCATCACGCATTGTGACGTCATCACGCATTGTGACGTCATCACGGCGTTTTATTACCGTCTGATTGCATCTGACGAGCAACAGCTGTGTTCAGAGGATGAATTTAACAACATGCCGATATTATTGCAGAACATGTTTCACTTTTCTTTTTGAAAATGTGTTAATTAGTATCAGTTTGTTTTACGCTGCAGATCAGACGGGTGTTCGTGTTCTTTATGAGGCAGTATTGGCATTTCCTTTACCACAGTCTAGTTTTACACACTTTCACACACGTTTGCGTGTTTCTTGCGTTTGCAGACGGTTCATTTCACCCGTTTTTGTGGGTCCGAGCTTGCGTGAAGCAGCGCACATTTCTCCTCCAGTTTGCTTTTTATAAACACCAATTATTGCGCAGAGAGCGGCGTACGCCTTCTTTTGTGCGTACGCAGCGTTTATAAATGAGGCCCTGATCCTTTATTGCTTCCCGGGCAACAATATAAGAAGCATGAGTTAAAAATGTAATGTAAGTCGCTTTAGAAACGTCTAAATGAGCTGTGATGTGATGTAATACATTTACATCCACAGATACTCATTCATACTGTATTCCGTTTGATGGAATATAGTAACAACATATTTAATACTATAGGTAATACTAGTTAATACTACGGCTTGTTAATACTACATACTACCGCTGCAGTGCGGAGCCTCGACTGAGCCGCCTCACATCGCTGTGATCAGTTACGTCACCGTATTCAGCCTGGATGTCACACCAGCTGCTGACTGTCGGCGGTCCAGAGCTTTAGAGCGAGTAGAAGTGATGGTCTTTGCCGCTGGTTTCATAACATCGTTACATTTGAGATGTTTGGCGCAGAGAAGAAGTGAAGTTTCATGGAGTCACCTGCTTCTTCGCAGACTTTTATAGCCGATCAGTGTGGACGATCCACTTCGCTCACCAGCAGCAGAAGCACCATCGCTAATGATCCCAGAAACTTCACTCCATGCTAGTTTCATACCATCAACAGCTTCGCCAACGGAGACCAATAAATCGCTTCCTCTGGTTTGTCCTTTAAGACGTTTAAGGTCAAGCAGCTCCTCTGTCACGTTCATGTCGTCAACTCCTCAAGAAGTAGTAGTTGTGCAGTGTCAGATCTGACGAGATGTCCTCTGCTCTGGCGAGATGTCCCCTGCTCTGGCGAGATGTCCTCTGCTCTGGCGAGATGTCCTCTGCTCTGGCGAGATGTCCTCTGCTCTGGCGAGATGTCCTCTGCTCTCCGTGCTGCGTGGAAGGCAAACATTCATGAATTCCTGCTTCTTCTCGGGACAAACGTTCTCCACCATTTTCATGACGCAGTCCCTCACTGTCAACTTCTCTTCTTCTTTGCAGTCGTCATGGCGGAAATGATTTGAGAAGGTTTGGCGGCATCGATGCACAGTATCACAATGGTGCTGCCACCGTGTGGTTAAAGGGGGAATTACATGTTTAAAGTTACAGGATTTATTTATTCTGACGGAGCCAGCGAGCCATAAATAACATATTATGAGAGCGAAGCCACGGGGCGAATAAAATGTGACCGCGGGCCGGACTTTGGACGGATGAAAGCATAATCCTTTACCTCCTTTAGCTTAAACGTAACAAAGTCAAATCCACCTCTCTCAACACCCCCTGCTCCTCAACCCCTGCAGAACTTATTCAGCTTTCAAGTCTATGAAGGATTAAACAACCACAAAGCTGCTGAGAGAAAGACGTCCACCCAAACTGACAAGCAGGACCAGGAGAAAATGAATGAGGGGAAGATGGACGGAGCCAAATAGAGGACAATGGGACAATGAGCCTAAACATGCAGCCTGAGCTACAATGGAATAGTTCACATCAAAGCGTTCATGTTGTAAAACGGCCCAAAGCCCAAACCTCAACCACACCGATTCTTAAATGAGATGAACAGTCAAACGTTTGGACACGTTTACTCATTCGATTCAATGAGGACAAGTGTCCAAACCTTTGGACTGACTTTGGCTACAAAAACATCTGTAATAATCTACATACATTTATATTAACGAGCTAACGTTTCTTCATATGCTGCCCTGCTATACGCTGGATCACTGACGAATATCTGGTGTACAAACTTTCCATTCCTGGACTTTTACTGTGAAAATGTGCACTTCTGGTTCAGCTGCTGTGTTTCTATTTCGCTTCATAGGATTTATGGAAATGAATTTTGTGTTTTTTCAATAACGTGTGAGTTCTCCCAGCAGGTTGGTGTGAAGCTGTGAAGCTGTGGACTCTGCTATGAATCAGGCTGAGGACCCAGAGGACGGAGTCCGTCCCTCTGAAGCTCCTCTGTGTGGGGAACATGACAGCCAGACCAAAGCTCAGAGGTGAGAGGACCATCTCCAACTGTCCTCCACTCGTCTCCATGTCCCAACGTCTTTGACTCAGTGACTCTGCTTCTACATGTGTGACCAGGACCCATCAGAGACCAGGACCTGGACCTGATCCTCAACCTGGTCCGGTGTCTGGACCTGCACCCAGCTGTGTGTCCATGAAGAGTAACCGGTCTACGGATGCTCCTGTAGTCTTCAAAGATGTCCGTCCCACTGTGGATGCAAGGTGAGGGTCTCAGGTATTGAGGACGGACTCGTGTTGTCAGGAGACGGACTCACAGGTTCAAGAGAACGGAGAACGGTCATTTCCACCTTCAACAGCAGCTGACGTGATGACGTCACCACGGATTTTGATACAGTTCTTGACTGTTATTTATTTCTATCAGACACAAAATAATCAGCCAAAGTATCTCAGTGTGTCAGATCAGAGTCGTTGTCCAGTAGAACATCTGAAGAAGATGCAGAGGAGCAGCTGTAGTTTGTGGTGCTGCTGAACTTTACTGGATCACACTGACAGGAGTATATTTAACATATTATTGGATGGAAGAAACACACGTATTACATCACACGTATTACATCGCACGTGAGCTCTATAAAGGTTTCATAAGGTTTGATAGCAACAATAATGAATCCGTTAATGTTTTACTGGATAGTAACACATTCCACAAACTTCTCCTTGTGACTCAAACATCAAGAGGAGGATCATCAGTGTGTCGTCCTCGTCCAGTTAAATGCACAAACATCACTGTAAATTCAATTCAAATGTACCTGAACCTCCTCTGTGTCTCTACTTCAATAGTGATTGATTGATGTCTATTATACATTGATCAATGAGGCAACAGTAAGATGACATCATTAGTGATTAACATCAGATTTAATATCTATGATAGTGATCAATGTGTGAACTCTTGCAAACAAGGAAATAAATATAAACATTTTCAAGTAAATGGAAGCAGATGACCACACATGAAATGTCTTACAGAGAAAATTCAATAATTCATATTTGTAAAAATAAGTCTCTTTGAAGCTGCCGGTTTAGAGTCTCGATGACGGTCTCCTCGTGTCCTTTAATTAAAACATTGTTAGTCTTAATGCTCAATGATGGACAGTAACAAGCTGCTCACTGTGGATACAGACAGGACGTTAACGTTGAACATCTTGTCTGTATCCACAGTGAGCAGCTTGTTCTAAACATCTGAACTCTGCTCTCAAAGAGACGGAACGTTACCGGAGAACAAGCATCAGTCCGAGAGATTAAACGTTATGAACACTGACGCGTTTAGTACAGTTATATCCGTGTGTGTGTGTGTGTGTGTGTATATATATATATATATATATATAATATATATATATATATATTATAAACCAAACTGACTGGTGAGCTGATAGACTGAGCTGTTGATTCTCAGTGGGACCAGCAGGACCAGTAGACCTAAACCACTACAGGGAGTCATGTGGTCCACATCCAGACCTCACGTCATGGACCGTTACCTTGTTTTGGTCTCTGAGGACGGACACCATGTGAGCTGATGCTTCGTGATTAGATGATGATGTGATGAGGTAATCTCAGTGTTTCTTTCAGGTCACATCAGCAGAGAGGAATGTCTCCTGAACCCAGATGTTTGTCCATGAAGAGAGATCAGTCTCCTCATCGATCGATTAACTTCAAAGATGATCAGTCTATTGGTCGTCTGATTGACTTCAAAGATGATCAGTCTATTGGTCGTTTGATTGACTTCAAAGATGATCAGTCTATTGGTCGTTTGATTGACTTCAAAGATGGACGCCGTTCTTATGACCCAGAGTAAGTTCTTAAACAGATGAAGAACTGAAGATCCTTAGTTATGAATTACAGAATGTCCGTACATTGTTTAAAGTGACGATCATCATGACAGAACTCATTATCTTCATCTAACTGGTCTGTGAGTGTTTTAGTGTGAATCATTAACTGTAAACGTCCTCAGATGTAAACACAATGTGAGCTGGTTCCTCCACATCAGGATCAGGTCACATCTGGAGGCCGCTGCAGGTTTCTGGAGACAGATGAACATGTGATTAGAATAAACTCTGCTGCTGCCTGGAGAAACGCTGTGGTCGAAAAGGTCTCATCCTGCGTTCACACCAAAAGCAAAGCAAATTATTTGCGCGTGTCGATTCAATGCAAAGTCAATGCACAGACGCGACTGCTTAGGGAAGGCGCGCAGGTCATGTGATTAGAATAAACTCTGTGCTCTGTGGACCAGCTGACGTGGTCTCTGGACTCCATGCAGAGGTTTGGACAAAGTATCGTCAGTAGACTCTGTGAAAAGGTCCAAAGACTAGTTTCAGAAGATCTAAGGAGACTTCTAGAGGTCAGAGGATGGACTAAGGAGGTTTGGAGTAGTTCCATAGGACTTTGTACCAGACGCAGAGGTCTGCAGATGTTGTTTTTATGACCCACAGTAAGAACTAAAAGCAGATGAAACTGATGACTAACTGTCACTCAACTAATAAACTGCCCGTCATCATCGACAGTCTTCAGCATCTGGTTTTCATGATGATCAATCATGACAGAAGCAAATATCTTTAACTAATGTTGTATTGGTGTTGAAGGTCCAAACACCATGTGGGCTGATGGTTCATGTTCCTCCACAGAGAGGACCAGGAGAGCTCAGAGGTTCCCACAGGTCCGTCTGCCCTGAGGAGAATGAAGCAGGAGGAGCTGGCTGAGCGTCTGCAGAGCAGTAAGAGGATTTCTCTACAGACTTACCATGCTGATAATTGAGACCTTCACTAGTGTCTCAAGAGACGGAGAGAATATATTCATAGTCATTCTCTGAGGAAAGGACGTGTTGAAAATCTATTCTTTGACTCATTGAACTTCTTTGTTGTCTTCATTCAGGACTTATTCCTGCAGATTGTCAACGTGAACTCAAATCCAACCTGAAGAAGAAGTTCCAGTGTGTGTTTGAGGTGATCGCTAAAGGAGGAAACCCAACCCTTCTGAATGAGATCTACACAGAGCTCTACATCACAGAGGGCGGGACTGCAGAGGTCAATGAAGAACATGAGGTCAGACAGATTGAAACAGCATCCAGAAGACCCGCCAGACCAGAAACAACCATCAGACTAGAAGACCTCCTCAAAGCCTCAGCTGGAGGAGAGGAACCAATCAGAACAGTGATGACTAAGGGAGTGGCTGGCATTGGGAAAACAGTCTTAACACAGAAGTTCACTCTGGACTGGGCTGAAGACAAAGACCACCAGGACATACAGTTCACATTTCCATTCACCTTCAGAGAGCTGAATGTGCTCAGGGAGAAAAAGTTCAGCTTGGTGGAACTTGTTCATCACTTCTTTAGTGAAACCAGAGCAGCAGGAATCTGCAGGTTTGAAGAGTTCCAGGTTGTGTTCATCTTTGACGGTCTGGATGAGTGTCGACTTACTCTGGACTTCCACAGCAATGAGATCCTGACTGATGTCACAGAGTCGGCCTCAGTGGATGTGCTCCTCACAAACCTCATCAGGGGGAAGCTGCTTCCCTCTGCTCGCCTCTGGATAACCACACGACCTGCAGCAGCCAATCAGATCCCTCCTGAGTGCGTCGGCATGGTGACAGAGGTCAGAGGGTTCACTGACCCCCAGAAGGAGGAGTACTTCAGGAAGAAGTTCAGAGATGAGGAGCAGGCCAGCAGGATCATCTCTCACATCAAGACCTCACGAAGCCTCCACATCATGTGCCACATCCCAGTCTTCTGCTGGATCACTGCTACAGTTCTTGAGGAGATGAAGACCAGAGAGGGAGGAGAGCTGCCCAAAACCCTGACTGAGATGTACATCCACTTCCTGGTGGTTCAGTCCAAAGTGAAGAAGGTCAAGTACGATGGAGGAACTGAGACGGATCCACACTGGAGTCCAGAGAGCAGGAAGATGATCGAGTCTCTGGGAAAACTGGCCTTTGATCAGCTGCAGAAAGGCAACCTGATCTTCTATGAATCCGACCTGACAGAGTGTGGCATCGATATCAGAGCAGCCTCAGTGTACTCAGGAGTGTTCACTCAGATCTTCAGAGAGGAGAGAGGACTGTACCAGGACAAGGTGTTCTGCTTCGTCCATCTGAGTGTTCAAGAGTTTTTGGCTGCTCTTCATGTCCATCTGACCTTCTTCAGCTCTGGTGTCAATCTGCTGTCAGGAGAACAAACAACCTCCCGGCGGTCTAAACGCTTAAAAGTCAATCCTGAACGCCTCTACCAGAGGGCTGTGGACGAGGCCTTACAGAGTCCTAATGGACACCTGGACTTGTTCCTCCGCTTCCTCCTGGGTCTTTCCCTGGAGACCAATCAGACTCTTCTACGAGGTCTGCTGACAAAGACCGGAAGTAGCTCACCGACCAATCAGGAGACAGTTCAGTACATCAAGGAGAAGATCAGTAAGAAGGTGTCTCCAGAGAAAAGCATCAATCTGTTCCACTGTCTGAATGAACTGAATGATGTTTCTCTAGTTGAGGAGATCCAACAGTCCCTTAGTTCAGGACGTCTCTCCTCAGGTAAACTGTCTCCTGCTCAGTGGTCAGCTCTGGTCTTCATCTTACTGTCATCACAAGAAGATCTGGAGGTGTTTGACCTGAAGAAATACTCTGCTTCAGAGGAGGCTCTTCTGAGGCTGCTCCCAGTGGTCAAAGCCTCCAACAAAGCTCTGTAAGTACAGAGAGTCAGATTCATACAGCCTGACTTAAACATGCTGCCATCTTTTCTACTTATTGTTTATATTTGCTTCATTGTTTTTTCTTCAGACTGAGTGACTGTAACCTCTCAAAGAGAAGCTGTGAAGCTCTGTCCTCAGTTCTCAGCTCACAGTCCTCTAGTCTGAGAGAGCTGGACCTGAGTAACAACAACCTGCAGGATTCAGGACTGAAGCTGCTGTGTGCTGGACTGGAAAGTCCACACTGTGACCTAGAGACTCTCAGGTTAGGATTCAACACGGTGTCTTTTATTTAGTTAAATTCCTGTCTGCCTCGTAAGATTCTTTCTGCTTGCATTATTTACATCAAACATTTATTTCATGTATATGTGTATGTTCTCAGTATTATTGTCAGATTGTTGATGAACATTAGTGGGTGTTTAGTTGTGACTGGAAACCAGTCAGTAACCATGTTAATGTGACCCCTCAGTAGCCGACAGTATCTCAGTCCTGCAGTGACCTTCTAGTCCTCACGGCTCCCTCAGATCATGTGACATGTGTGTTGTTTTGTGTGTCTGCAGGCTGTCAGGCTGTCAGATCACAGAGGAAGGCTGTTCTCCTCTGGCTTCAGCTCTGAGCTCCAACCCTTCCCATCTGAGAGAGCTGGACCTGAGTAACAACGACCTGCATGATTCAGGACTGAAGCTGCTGTGTGCTGGACTAGAGAATCCACGCTGGCAACTGGAGACCCTCAGGTCAGGATTCAATCAATGTTCACCTGGTGTCTTTATTTACATCCATGCTACATTTCTGACTTTCTTAAGATACTTTCTGCTTGAATGATTCGAATCAAATATGTCATTTCCAAATGTTTTCATAAACATGTGATAGTGTTGATTTCCAATATAATGTTACAAATTGAAATATTTGAGATTAATCATATTATCAGATTGTTGATGTACATTAGTTGGTGTTTAGTTGTGACCGAAAACCAGTCAGTAACCATTGTGATGTCACGAGAGGCGCCGCCGCTCTCACCGGGGTAGTTCAAGCAGTGAGAGGACACCAGGTTCAAATATAAACAAAATGTTTTATTCATGTTCTCTGGAATCAACAAAAACAGTAGTCCAAAAAGGGTAACTCAGGCTCCGGTCGATCTTAAATAATGTCTCGTCTTCGGAGGGGAATCATAAATCCAACTCACAAGAATATACAGTCCTCCTCCACGATATCCTCCTACGGCGGTCTGGTCTCTCTCATACCCCACTGGCTGTGTCTCTAACCCTTATGAAGGCCAGGACCCCGCCGTCCAGGACCCAGCCTCTCGTTACATAACACCATGTTAATGTGTCCCCTCTGTACCTGATAGTATCTCAGTCCTGCAGTGACCTTCTAGTCCTCACAGCTCCCTCAGATCATGTGACACGTGTGTTGTTTTGTGTGTCTGCAGGCTGTCAGGCTGTCTGATCACAGAAGAAGGCTGTTCTTCTCTGGCTTCAGCTCTGAACTCCAACCCCTCCCATCTGAGAGAGCTGGACCTGAGCTACAATCATCCAGGAGACTCAGGAGTGAAGCTGCTGTCTGCTGGACGGGAGGATCCTCAGTGGAGACTGGAGACTCTCAGGTATGAAGAGGCTGCAGCCACAGACCATCACTCTGTAGAGGAGCTGGAAACCTTTTCTCTGTCCCACTGTCAGCCTGGTTAATAAGACCCTGACACACCAACCTGACCTCAAACTACCAGAGACTCATCAAACTGTTTGTGTCCCACATGAGACCATCAACACAGACAGAAGTAGTGAGGAACAGTAGCCAGGATGAGCCTGAACAGTGAGGAAGGTGATGAAAGGCTTGTTTCTCTGGAGCCTTGTCTTGTTGTTGTAAGAGAGGTCAGTGTCTCCTGACACGTTGACGGCATCATGGTGGGTTGATATGAGTCAACGTCGTCACGCTGCAGGTTTATGGGCTCTTAGCAGACAACGCTTGGATGTTTAGATGCTGGTCATCTGCCTCCAGTGTGTGTTTGTCCTTTAGTCCAGACATTATCATTAAGAGACAGTCAGAAACAATCTGTTCAAAGCGTCTTGATGGATCATCACAGGAGGAACGTTTGGTGTTTTAAAGGAGTTCAGCTTCACCTGCTTTTGGTGCTTTGCACTGAGAGCCAGTTCCCTGGATGATGAGAGTGGACTTGTTGAAGCTACAGGTGA